AACTGTAACAATTCAACTGTAAACCTAAAAATTTACAGCCAATTTTGAAAAAGATGCATCTTAGCTCAGAAAATTGATATTGACTATGTCAATGCTGTTGTAATGAAATGCTTCTTCTAAGTTTGTGGTTATTAAATAAATAACTAGGGAAAAATATGCATGCTTGCAGTAAACCAGCTGTTGATAATTTATACTAACAAACTGAACTAGAACCCATCTGATAGGGTTTTTTAAAAGCATTTTTAAATTATTTTAATTTTATTTTATGGGTATGAGTGTATTGCCTTCATGTATGTAAGTTCACCTTTGTCGTGCAGTGCCCACAGAGTTCAGAAGAGGACGTCAGATCCCCTGGAACTGGAGCTATGGGCAGTTGTTGGTGGCCATGTGGGTGCTGGGAACCAAACCCACATCCTCTGCAGGAGCAGCCAGTGCTCTTAACCATTGAGCCATCTCTCCAGCTTTGTTTTTATTTTTATTTATTTATTTTTTTGATATTTTTGAGACAGGGTCTCCCTGTAGCCACAGCTGGCCTGGAGTCACTATGGAGAACAGGCTGGCCTCGAACTCACAGAGATCCACCTGCCTCTGCCTCCCGAAAGCTGGGATTAAAGGTGTGTGCCACCATGCCCAGCTTTCCAGTTTCATTTTATTTTTATTTTTATTTTTATGTGTATGAGTGTATTGCCTGCATGTACCCATTTCATGCAGTGCCCATGGAGGTCAGAAGAGGGTGTTGGATCCTCTGGAACTAGAGTTATAAATGGTTGTTATCCACCATGTGGGTGCTGGGAATTGAACCCTATTCCTCTGCAAGAGTAGCCAGTGCTCTTAATCACTGAGCACTCCAGTTCCTGGAAGGTTTTGAATTTGTTTTTCCATTTTTTGATTTTAATACAAATGCTTGTCTGTGCTCAATAGTCAAGTTGCATGCATGAAAATTTGGCTAGCCCAAACAGTGTGTTGATCATTAGCAAATGGAACTTTTAAGAGTCAATTAAGTACAGCCTTAGCATTAAGACAGTGTAAGTATTTATATTGTAAAACCTGATGTGGAGCTTGATCCTTAGGAGACAGAACCACCAACCCAAACATGAAGATTTTATGTGTGAATGGAAGGTACTTTTTGATATTCAGTTTTTCTATATAGAAACAGAATGAATACTTTATTTATTTATTTATTTATTTATTTATTTATTTATTTATTTGCAAGAGGTAAGTAAATGATTCAATTTGATTAATTTGATTCTTCTAGAGGGACAAATGGAGTGGAAAGTAGATCTTTATTTTTCAGTCACCATCTGTATGAATTCTTCATAATTGACTTGTCCTGTCTCCATCAATACCTTCTCCAATCATTTCATCTACTTCATCAGTTAATTTGTTCCTTAAGGTTGTCATGACTTGCCAGAGCTCTGTTGCACTAATGTAACCACTTCCAGCCCTGTCAGAGACTTAGACTGCTCATGAATTTCTTCTTTGTACCTGTATCTTTCATTTTTCTAGCCTTTAGAATCAAGAATTCTGGGAAGTCTAGCCAGGTGTGGTGGTGCATGCCTTTGATCCCAGCACTCAGGAGGCAGAGGCAGGTTGATCACTGTGAGTTCAAGGCCAGCCTGGTCTACATAGTGAGTTCCAGGTCAGCTGGGGCTACAGGGAGTCTCTGTCTCAATAAAAAAAAAAAAAAAAAAAAAAAAGAATTCTGGGAAGTCAGTGCTGTCATTTCCATCAGCATCCACTTCATTGATCATCAATTATGCTTCTGTTGGCTTTTGACCTAGTGACCTCATGACAGTTCCAAGTTCCTTCCTGGTGATGGTCCCATTACTATCTTTATTGAATAGGGAGAAATCTTCCTTGAATTCAACAATCTGTTCTTCAGTCAGAGAATCAGCCATGGCGTGAATGAATGGAGAAAGAGGGGAACAGGCAAGCGTGACTGAACCAGTAGAGGGGCTGTGACTGGCAGGGTGCTGCTGCTGCTGCTGCTAAAGGGCTGGGTGTGCTGTGCACTGGGCTGGCTGTGCTGTTCCCTGAACCTCAGTCACCACCCTGGGCCACCTGGGCCACCACCAGACTGTAAGGAGCTCCATGGACAGGAAACTCCCAGCACCCCTACCATCCTTTCATCTCCTCTGGACAGCTTTTGTACTTTACAAACCCAATTTACACATCAGCCTATGTCATGTAGATTTGCCAGAGCTTCTCCTACTTCATAAAGATTACATCGTGCCACGGGGTCCAGAAAAGCCACAACCCCGTATTGTTCCTGAGGTCCGTTTTGAGTCAGCCTTTTTCAGTGCTCCTGTAAACACACCCACTTTGGGCCCAGTGAAATCAAATACTTCACTTGTTCCTCTACTGTTTTCTTGTTCCGGCTCAAAGTGTTTCTAATGGCTCCTAAAGCCGATCCTCCGGGGACTGATTTATCCTTTGTCTCAAGGATGGGTGATTGGTTACATTACTCAATTTGGGAACTTCCACAGCACTCTGATTGATCCTATTTTTCTCTCATAACCTATAACCTCATGAGACAGGCTGTGACGACTCGAGTGCTTGTTTAAAAGTCTTTTCAAATTTACGCAGCTGAGAGAACACTATCATGGCCTTTTTCATTGGACTATTTTTTTATTTTTTACTTTTCGGTCTTTTTGAGACAGGGTCTCCCTGTAGCCCCAGCTGGCCTCAAAGAGATCTGCTTGTCTCTGCCTCCTGAGTGCCAGGACTAAAGGCTTGCACCACCATGCCCAGCTCATTGGACTATTTTTAAGATTCCCATCTCTGTACTGAATTATGTGCTTTCCCTTTCTCTGTATTAAAAGTTGTACCTGGGGACTATCTTCTATCACCTTTACCTTCTATCACCAGTTCCAAGTTCCTTCCTGGTGATGGTCCTATTACTATCTTTATTGAATTAGGATTTATTGAATATCTTTATTGTTAGAAGACCTAACCCAGGTCTTCTGCAAGAACAACTGTGTTCTTAACCGCTTAGCCATCTCTCCAGCCCCTCCATTCTTGTGTTTTCTTAAATTTTTCATAATGTTTGCTTGAGTGGTCTAATTTGTTCACTTTAGCGTCTAGTCTTGATATTCTGCTTTCCATTTCATTCATCTTATTGGTGAGGCTTTCTCCTGTCATTTCTAATTGATTTACTGAGTGTTTCACTTCCTTCTTCATTTCAGCCTGAGCATTTTTCAATATTTCTCTTTTCTGAATGAATTCAGAAGTTTGTCCCTATCTTCTTTCAGTTCTTTGATTTCTTTGTGTGCTATTTAAATTCACTGAATTCTTTTATCATATTTATAATTGTTCTTTTGAGTTCCATGTCCTGTGTTATCTCTAGGGGATTCTCACTGTACTCCTCTAGAGGACTGCTGGTACTTGGTGGGGATATTTTATTTTGGCTTTTCATGTTATTATTTTTTCTCTGTGACTTTGACATGTGGATTTCTTTTGTAGTTTTTGAGTCTTGTGTGAAACTCAAGCCTTTCTTTGTTGAGTTTAGATCTGCTTCTTTTTGCAAGTTTTATGTGCCTTTGTAGTTTACTTGTTGGTCATGAAAAGCTGGTTGGTCTAGGCTTCAGGTTCTCTCTTTTGATTTTATATTGGAGTGGCCAAATTGCTTTCATCTTACTACTCAGGAGTTCCCACGGAGGCCCAAGTCGGATAAGCATCAGATGCTCTCAGGCTTTCTCTTAAGGTCTGGGTCCCTCCAGGAAAGATGCTGGCCTCAGGAATTTGGGGGTTGGGCTGGCCTGGGAGCAGGGCCCAGGAAAGTTGCTGGCCCCAGGAAGCTGGTGGCTATGCCACCCAGGGATGAAAAGGTTGGTGGGGACAGGAAGAGGCCTTGAGGACCCCTGGGGACTACAGGGAGGAATTGGGTTGGTCTGGATGTGAAGGATGAGGAAGTAGTGGGGATTGTGGCCAAGAGGCCAGCCAGTACAGGGGTCTGGTGTGCTGAGACAAGAAATAGGCTAGTACCCAGGCTAGAAGAAGAGATGGGGTGGGGGATCTGGCAGAGTGAATGAGGCTGGAGGAGTCAAGGTTCAGTAGGTGCCACAGGACTTACCCAGGAAAGATGCTGGCACCAGGAACTAATTTTTGAGAACTTCATGTGAGTATTGTATTTGCATTGTTTCCATCCCTCCCAGTCCCCATCAACTCCTCCCGTGTCCCCCCAACTCCCTCTCAATTTCTTCTCTTCTTTATTTGTACACTCACATACACATATATATTTAGTGGTGCTGGTGTGTACCTATGTTTGGGCCTGCCCATTTAGTTTTAGATAATCTCTCAGGGAACTAGTCTCTGGAGAAAACTGATTCTCCTTCCCTCAGCATCCATTGATTGCCTATAGTTTTTCATCTTGAGATGGAACCCCATGACATTCCCTGCATCCACCTTGACATGTCAACTGGTTTTGTCAATATGTAGATCTTGTTAGTCTATCATACTGTGGAGATTTCATTGGTGAAGCTTCCTTATCATGTACAGAATGCCTTAGTTAGTAGCAGGTATCTTCTCCCTCTGGCTCTTACATTCTTTCTGACCCCTCTTCTGTGATGTACCCTGAGACTTAAGTGTAGAGGTTGCATTATAAATGTGTCACTTAAGGCTGGGCACCTCATAGTCACTTATTCTCTACATTTGACCATTTGTTGAACTTTGTAATAGTCTCCATCTATTGCAAAAAGAAGCTTCTTTGATGAGTGCTAAGAGCTACACTTATTTGTAAATTTATGAATATATATTTAGAAAACAGTAAAGCATTACATTGATATAGGGAAGTGACAGAAATGCTTTTCTCTGGGATCTATGATTTTTCCAGCCATGTGTATTTGGCTATGTTTATAGTAACACACATGAGTTCCCTCCCATTGAGCAGTCCTTAAGTCCAATTGGGACAGCTGACCCCCACCCAAGAGAAAAATGCCACTACTGTACCAATAGCAAGAGTTTATTGGGCCAATCGTTGTTGTGGTTTGTAGACATTACACCTGGATAAAGATTGGTTTTTCTCGTTGGCAGCTTGCATAGTATCTTCAGATACTTTGAAAGCTAGTCTTCCAAGAGGAGGTTTCCAGGTCAGTTCTAGTTCAATGAACACACTAAAAAGTTTAATGTTGCAGCTAAGGTGCTGTGTTAGAAATGAGACTCTCATTGTTATGAAATTAGCACCACGAAGAAGAGGCCTCCTGTGGGGAATGTGGGTGGCAAGAGGCTGGCAGATCTCTGTGAGTTGAAGGTCAGCCTGGTTTAATAGTGATTTCCAGGCCAGCTGTGGCTACAGGGATACCCCACCTCAAAAAACAAAAACTGACAAACATACAAAAAGAGGCCCCTTGATCGTCACTTAAACAATGGAAAGAAAGCCCTCAAGGTAAGATTTCACCCAGCTAAGCTTTCAACTTGTGAAAGGCCTAAGAGGTTTTCTGGTCCTAGAAAACCACAACAAAAACTGGGGCTAATGTGACCAAATAGGGTCCATCCCAAGGTGGCAGCTGAACCTGGTAGTATCCTCTGAGTGGCACTGGACTTAGAGGCATAAAAGGTGCAAGAGTGAGGGGGTTACTGATTGTTCCTCTGTGGTTTCAGAGAGCCACTGAAGCCTGGCAGGATGTATCAGGGAAATTCTCACATTAAAAAGGCCCTAACAAGCCAACAGACCTTGAAGGCCATCATATGAAGGTGTGAAATTGAACCCTGGGCTGCTGTGGAGACCCTAAGATGCTGGGGATGCCAGAGCCATGAGGTATCTGCCAGTGACAGCTGCATACAGGCCGTTGTATACTGCAGACAGCAGAACTTGAAGGGTGGGCACAACTAAGCCCTTTGGAACTAACATCCTAGCCATCAGACATGGAGTTATAGGAACTGCTTTTTTTCCTCTGGTGGTTTTTGGTCCTAAAATTTCTCATTATCCCCTCATTCCTCCCTTTTAGAACCAGAATATATATTCTATGCTATGGTTTGTTCAAAGTATGTAAATAGCTTTTTATTTTATAGGTGCTTTTATTTTATAGTTATGATAGTGCCTTGAGTCTCAGAAAAGGTTTTGGACTTTGGACCAGTGTTGAGACTGTTAAAGACAATGGGGACTGTTAAAGTTGAGCTAAACGCATTTTGCATTATGATATAGCAATGAATCTATGGGGTCCAGGGAGTAGAATGTGGTGGTTTGATGAGACAGTCCCCCATAGGCTCAAGTATTTGAACACTTGGCCAGTTGGCAGCATTGTTTGGGAAGAGTGACGGAACCTTTAGGAGTTGTGGCTAGCTGAAGAAAGCATATCACTGGCCGTGGGTTGTAAGAGTTCAGAGTCTTGCTCCACTTTCAGTTATGCTCTCTCTGCTACTTGTGTGCGCTCCAGACGCCTCTGCTGCCATGCCTCCCCACCATGATGACTCTTATCCCTCTGGAATTGCAAGTCCAAATAAACTCTTCCAAGTTCCCTTGGTCATGGTGTTATCCCAGCAACTGAAAAGAAATCAATACAGGCTTCAAACTCATTATGTAGACAAGGCTGCATTCAACTCCTGACCGTCTTGCCTTTATCTCCTAAGTTACAGAGTTACAGGCATGTACTGCCATGCCTAACTGAGGCAGGCAGGGAGGCATAGGGGAGGACTCTACTTGGCTTGGGTTATGCACAAACACCTCTTCTAATAATGCATTTGGAAGTTTAGGGCTCTCACCTGCATGTACTATGCATACACCCTCTCCTAACAATGTACCCACCTGCATTGGGCTTCGTGCATATTCCACTTTAAACAATGGAAGGTGTTTCTCCTCCCCTAGTCAGTTGGGACAGTTTTTATTCAAATATATTCTGTTTTATCTGAGTAGGGTATGATGGTAAAGAGGCTGTTCCAACCTGAAATAGTTTTACCCAAAGTGTGTAATAAGGCAAACTGTGTTCTCTGAGTGAACTTTTATGGAGATTCCCCTATTTACCATCTTATGCCTAGGCATAATTGGGCATGCATCTGGTTAAAATTACATGTTTTATGGGAAGAGGCATACAGAGTAAAGTTTATATAACTCAAATTTGTCAGTCAAAATACAGAAATGCCCATGCTATTTTATACCTCTTAGTGACAATAACTTTTTCCTTTAGACCTCATAGAAAGAAGCCATAACAATAACCTAGGGCCCTTGCCTACCTCTTACTCAAGTGGCCTGCTGTCACTCTTGATAGCTATTCTCATCTGTGGTATCAGTTTTTTTTTTTTTTTTCTTTTGAGATAGAGTCTCCCTGTAGCCTCAGCTAGCCTGGAACTCTGTAGACCAGGCTGGTCTCAATCTCACAGATCTCTGCCTCCTGAGTGCTGGGACTAAAAGTGTGCTCCACCATGCCTGTCTCACTTTGCTTTTTATTTTATTTAATTTATTTATTTTATTCCAAAGAGAGGCAATTTTAACACATTTTTCCAGAAATAACTTGAAGCAGGTTAATATCTATATCTATCTATCCATCTATCCATCTATCTATCATCTATCTATCTATCTATCTATCTGTCTCCCTGTAGCCCCAACTGGCCTATAACTCCCTATGTAGACCAGGCTGGCCTTGAGCTCACAGAGATGTGCCTGCCTCTGCCTCCTGAGTGCTGGCTGGGATTAAAAAAATGAAGTTTAAAGGGGGGGAATAGGAATAAGAAATCAAAGACCAAAGGATTAGGATTTGCCAACATGGGGTCAACTTTGGTGGAATAATGAATAATGAAAGTTTCCAATAGCTCTGTTCTTTTTTTCTTTATTGGGCTTGCTAACAGAGCATAGGGTGGGGGTTTATTTACAGAAGAGTGGGTGCTGCCCCCCCCTCCCCATTTACAACTGTGTTGGAAAGTCCACATTCAAATATAGATCCTGTGACTTCCCCACAGCTCACTTTGCTTGTGAATAAAGTTTTTTACTACTTGGCAACCTGTGTGTGCCTTTATTATAAATCATTTAATAAGGGGGCAAGAACCTGGAAACACCTGGTCTAGACACTGAGAACCCCAGTAATACAGCAATTTACTGTTGCTACATAACAAGACACTAGAGGGGCTGGAGAGGTGACTCAGCAGTTAAGCACATTGGCTGTTCTTGCAGAAGACCGGGGATCGAGTCCCAGCACCCACATGGCAGCTACCAACTGTCCCATTTCTTGGGAATCAGATACCCTCTTCTGTCCTCCAAAGACACTGCATGACACTGGTGCACTTACATACATGCAGGGAACATACATACACACACACACACACACACACACACACACACAAAATAAAAATAATAAAATTTTAAAAAAAGAGAGAGATCACCAGGAATCTAAAGCCAGCCTGGGTTATATAACATCCTATTTCACTAGCCAGGATACCTTTAATCCCAGCACTTGAAAGGCAGAGGCAGAGGCAGGAGGATCTTTGTGAGTTAGAGGCCAGCCTGGTCTACATAGTGAACTCTAGGCCAGCTGGGGCTACAGGTAGACCCCATCTCAAAAAGACAAAAATAAAATAAAAAATAACTAGAACAAAGGATAGCACAAGTTATTTCCTTTCCATATAGATTCTCTAGAGTGAAGGTCACTTGACTAGTAGTTAAGTGACTCATGCCCATGAACTTATTTCTAAGTTTGACTATGTAAGAATATTGGTATTATCTAGTCAACATTATGTCACTTCTAGTGGCCAGCATAAATAGTAATAAACTTTGGAACAGGGTATTTGCAAACATGGAGCTGGACATGGTGGTACAAGCCTGTGATTCTCATATTTGAGAGGTTCAAGGTATCCTTAATTACATAGCAAGTTCAAGGCCTTCTAGGCTACACGAGACTGTCTCAGATAAACCAAATAAATACATAAACCAGTAAGAACTCAAATCTAATTCACATGTGACTTTCTTGAAAGACCAGAAAAGTGAGGTGTCAGTGATATATGGTGTCTGAGTGTTTCTTCAGTAAGAATTAGCTCATGGGCCAATGAAAAACAGATCTACCAGTATTAACAATGGAAATATTGATCCAGCCAGGATACCCCTTTGTACTTTAGTATTTGGAAATAATTAAATGCAAAACAAGCCAGGTGTGGTGACCCACACATGTAATCCCAGCAAGCTGGACTCAGGTGGATGCAGGAGGATCAGGTGTTCAAGGCCAGCCTTGACTGTTTAGAGACTTTGAGATTAGTCTAATTTACTTGCAACCTGTCTCAACAAAACAATAAAACAAAGCCAAAATAAAACCAAACAAAAACCTTAGTAATGTCAGAGACCTGAAATTCTTACAGGAATCTCCTTTTGCTGAAATACTTGGCTGAGTTAGTAAATGCCAACAACTACATTGTTCTACCATGTTTAATGTGGGAATTATATGAACAGATGGAAAATGTGGAAGATTTCTCTAGATGTTAATGAAACATTGATGAATGCTACCCCTGAGATGAGATTATTTTTTAATTAGGTCTTTTAAAGAATATTATATTTGCTTAGTGTCTGATTTGCAGTGTTGGCAGATTAAGTGTCTGGAGTCAGGCAGCTTTGTCTATGGGAGACCTCGTGGCTCAGCCTGAGGCCTTTCTGGTGCTTCCCTATCTGCACCCTGCACAAGCCCCAGTGGCCACCGGTGGCCTCCCCTCCATGCCCTCAGCTGGGAGGGACTGAGTCCATGCCACACCCCTCAATGCCTGCCTAATCCTTCCTCTGTTGTCATGTCTGCATAGCACCCCACAGATGGTCAGCCTCTCCCCACTCCCCAGGGTCAACGTGAAAGACAGTGTGAGATCACATACTATAGGTGAACTTTTATTCCTAGCAGCTCCTTTGACAGGAAATGTGGTAGTGAAAAGTGGACTGTTGCTTGATAAGATGGTGAAGTTCTAGAGGATTGAGAGGATTATCCAGTACAAGTTATACCCCTGAGCAATGATCTCTGCTGTCCTTTTCTACTGATGGCAGTGTTTTAGTGTTTACACACGATGGAAGTATCTGTTTTTGGACCAACAGAATACATTTTATACACACCTTAAGCTTTACCTGACTGTATGTTTTTAAAGGTTCAGAAGATTTGATTATTCTTGTACTGCATTTTCATTAGTTCACCTTTTAAAATATTATTTCTGGACCACATAGAATTACTTCTGAACATATCAACTGTAATTTTAAAGAGTAACTCTGAAAATGTACATACGTACATGTATGTATTTAGACAAGCTGCTGTGTACTAAATGGACCTTTTGCTTTTTGAACTCTCCCCACAAATTCTGACTTGATAGATTGCTTTAGTAGATCCACAATAGGTATCTGGCGTGAAGTTCGAAGAATTTAGTGGGTTGATTTGCTTGTTTTCCTTTGGGATGACATTTAAATGATGCTGAGTTAAGAAAGCTCAGTTGCCTCATAAGAATGGAGTTGGATGGGGTGGGTGCTGTCATACTGACCTGTACCTGAGACTGAGTCCTTGTATACGGAAAGATTTTATTTTCCTTAGGAATGGTGTCTGACAGGGAGTTAGAATGTGACACTGAAAAACAACCAGGATGCAATTGGACAAAGGGTGTCATTTCGTAGGCCTTAATTTTGGAAAGCAGCTTGCTTTTGAAGTATAAAGTTATTATACATTTTTTTGTCAATTTGAAAAATATACCTATTGTATTATTGATGAATATTCTGTTTATACTAAGGGACAATTATTTTAAGGCCATGGGTTTTTAAAAAAACACATACTCTATGTTTCTGAAGAGGATAAATTGGTGACTTGACAAAGAGCAGCAAACAAGAGCATCTGCCTTTGTTCTGTTATCTGCAGATGTTAAGAATGCACACATTCTGGAAAATCGTTATTTTATATCTTTGAGTTTTTAAAGACATAAAAAAAGATTTTATTTTTAATTTTTTTGCTTTAATTTTTTTATGTGTACATGTGTATTGTATGCATGTATGCAAGCGCATCCCTGTCATGCAGTGTCTGAGGACAGAAGAGGGCATTGAATCCCCTGGAACTGGAGTTATGGATGGTTATTAGCCTCAATATGAATGTTGGGATTCAAATTTGGGTCTTCTGCAAGAACAGCCAAGATATTTTTTACTATTTTTGTTTTATACGAGGGTATTGCCTACATGTATGTAAGTGTACCTGTGTCCTGCAATGTCCCTGGATGTCAGAAGACGATGTCATATTCCCCTGGAACTGGGAGTTACAAATGGTTGTTAGCAGCCATGTGGGTGATGGGAATCAAACCTAGGTCCTCTGCAAGAGCAGCCAGTGCTCTTAACTGCTGTGCCATCTCTCCAGCCCCACATATATATTTCTTAATCTCTATTCTTCCTCACAAAGAGATAAGAATAGCTATTCATTGAATTATTTTAACCGAAGTTGGGTGTGGTAGTGCACGCCTTTAGTCCCAGCACTTGGGAGGCAGAGGCAGGTGGATCTCTGTGGGGTCAAGGCCACCCTGGCCTACATAGGGAGGTCCAGGTAAGCTGGGACCTGGGGTTACAGGGAGACCCGGTCTCAAAAAGACCAAAAAAAAAAAAAAAAAACCAAAACCAAAACCAAAAGAAATAAATATGTGGCTCAATTGCACTACCTTTAGGCTAATTAACCATATTCCATTTGTTATTTATTACTCTTTTTTTTTTGGTCTGTAACTTGCTATGTAAACCAGGTAGGTAGGCCTCACAGATATCTGCCTTCCTCTGCCTTCAGAGTGATGGGACTAAAGGTGTGTGCCACTATATCCAGCTTCCATCTGTTAAAAAAAAAAAAAACTTTTTCTAAATTTTATTTTTTGTTTTTCTTGAGACAGGGTCTCCTTGTAGCCCCAGCTGGCCTGGCACTATCTAGACCAGCCTGGCCTGATCTCCTGATTGCTGGGACTGATTTATTTTTATTTTATGTGTATGGGTGTTTTGCCTTCAAGTATGTAAGTGCTTCACGTGTGTGCAAATGGTAGCAAATCCCCTGGGACTGAAGTTATGAATAATTAGTTGCCATGTGGGTGCTGGGAACCAAACTGCAGGGCTCTTCAAGGGTGGCCAGTGCTCTTAGCCTCTGAGCCATCTCTACAGGCCCCTGTCTGTCTTTATAATACTCTAAGAAAAAAGATGAATTCGAGGATTTTTAAAAGATATTTCTAATTTTTATTTTATATGTATGAATGTTATACCTGCATGTAGGTAAGTACACCCATGTGGTGCAATGCTCCGTGGAGGACACAAGAGGCTGTCAGATCCCTTGTAACTGGAGTTACAGACAGTTGTTAGCTGCCACCTGGGTGCTGAGATTCGAAGCCGGGTCTTCTGCAAGAACAGCCAGTGTTCTTAACCACTGAGCCATCTCCCCAGCCCAGAATTCAAGGATATTTTAAGTGGATATGTTGAAGTACGTCTCAAAAAGACCCAAAAAAAAAAAAAAAAAGTGGAAATCAATTTTTTGGAGAGCTCACCTATCTCCAAGCTCAGGTTGACCTCTGCTACGTAGCAGACGATGAACTGAATTTCCAATTCTTCTATGCCTACACCCCAAGTCCCAGGATTAGGGGTGTGTGTCATCACATCCAGCAGCAAATCATGGCACTGTAACACAAAACTCAGCATGTTAAATTACGGCCCTGGTTTGCTCACTGGTGTAAAAATCTGGCCAGAGTTAGGCAGATCTAACTTTTCAGGGTCCCAGAGATGCCTGCACATTCGGTCTACAGCTCCTGAGGGATTCCCAGCCAGGGCTCCGGCTCCGCTTTCCTAACCACGCCGAGGTTAGCGAAGACTTGGCACTGCGCTCCCTGCAGATCCTGCTCCGAGGTGGAGGCTCAGAGGCCTCTCTCGGAAAGGGAGAGGTGGCCCAGGATGCCGACCCCCAGCCCGGACTTCCTCTCCGGCTGCTCCCGCAGGGAACCCAGTCAACATCCACTGCCTTACTGGTGCACGGAGTGTACGCGTGGACCTGCAGCCCTGTGCGGACCCGTGGATGCAGGAGCCCAGGTTCCGCGGTGCTGGTGCCCAGGGTTGTGGGTGCTGATAACCAGATTCTGCGGGTGCTGTTGATTAGGTTCCGCGGGTGCTGAGACGTGGGGATCCCTCGGGACAACGCAATCACCCCCGCAGCCAGGAGCACAGAGGACCACCGAGGCCCAGCACCGCGCCTCCACCTCCCCGACGCAGACGTTCACGTGACCCGCGGCGGTCACGTGGCCCGCGGTGCTCCGCCTAGCCGCCGGGTGTGGAGGGCGGTGCCGGAGCGCGCGGCGGCAAGTGCGCGTGCGCAGCTCACAGCTGTCACCCGGAGCGGAACGAGTCTCCGGAGGCCGCGGCGCTGTGCGGGTCGTTTGGCCGCAGGTAACCGCGCCGGGTCGGGCTAGCGGCGGGCGGGCGGGCTCCGGGTGGTGCGGGCGGTGCTGGGCAGGCGGGCGGCGTTCCCGGGCGGGCTGTGGTGCCCCGAGCCGCGCGCCCGCTGCCTTCCTCATTAGCCGGCTAGGGCCGGCTCGGAGGCCTGGTGGCGCACTCGGCCCTCAGCGCCTCCGGGTCCTTTGCTCCGGCTGCAGTTCCCCGAGGCCATGATGCAGGGTAGACAGTGGGCGCCTCATGGATGCGGGGTGGACACAGTGGGCGCTTCATAGACGCGGGGTAGACAGTGGGCGCTTCATAGATGCGGGTTGGACACAGTGGGCGCTCAGTAGATGCGGGTTGACACAGTGGGCGCTTCATAGGTGGGGGTTGGACACAGTGGGCGCTCAGTAGATGCGGGTTGGACACAGTGGGCGCTCAGTAGATGCAGGTTGGACACAGTGGGCGCTCAGTAGGTGCGGGTTGCACGGGGCTGTGAGCTCCCATCCCAGGCTGTGGAGGGGGTGGAAATGCGGAGGCTGCAGGCTGGAGCCGGGGCTAGACCGGAGCTTGGGCCTCTCCGCGGTGCAGCTACTTCGTCCTTCCTAGAAGACCGAGTTTCTTGCACTTGACTCTCGGGAGTTTCTCACCCCGCAGGGCTGGAGCGTGAGTGAGAATTGCTGCGGTCCGCGCGCATCTGTGTGGAGCTTTGATGGCTCGGCACTTTGGTCCCCGGTCTCTGCCCTGTTCCACCCGCCGTGCTTGGAGCCTTTTTAGAAAAACGTGGCTTCATTGTTTCTATGGCGACGGGTATTGATATTATAATTTCGGAGTGTCGAGGTTGGCTGTTAGTGGCCTTTTTCCCGGCTTGTATTTGGGACAGGGTCTCATGTGGTCTTGTCTGACCCTGTGTACCTGTGTAGACTTATGAGGCCTAGAGATCGTGGGGATCCACCTGCCTCTGCTCTCCAGTGCGCGTAGATTTGCCTGGCTTTTCAGTTTGTGAAAGTGTTTTACCCCCTTTGCTGGGGATACATAGGCTCACTGCTAGGGCTCATGGTTAGCATCGGATGGACTTAGTTTCAATCTCTAGTCCTGAAAAGAAAGAAAAAAAGTTCATTTTTACTATGTAGCACCTGACTCACCTGTACTACATCACAACTTAGATTTTCCTAAAGCTTGCTGGTCTGGTAACCCCCTTGTTTTGGAATGCATTGCTCGGTTGTTGATTTTTAGGCTAGCCTTTCAATTTTAGTTTTGCCAGAAGTTTGCACAGATTATTTGCAGTTGGACGCTTGCTTCATCTTATCAGCAGACATATTTAGTCACTGTCTCTTGGAACTGTCTCTTGTAGCCCAGGCTAGCTTCGGGCTCTCCATGGAGTGGACCTGAATTTGTGATCCTTCTGTCTCTGCTTCCTGCTTGCTAGGCAAGCACTCTACCAACTGAGCTACTTCCCCGTCCCACTTTATGTTAGAGGAGTGTTCCCTTCTGTTAGTTGATGTTGTGCCTTTATATTCGTGTATTTGTTATTATTAGATATAAAATGATAAAACTGGTACATTCTGTACTGCCAGTAGATGTAGATGTCTTCCTTTAAACATTTATCTTATTAAATATTAATGTCTAGTGCTCCTCAATCCATTTCTTAATCGAATTTCTTGGGAGATATTGTATAAAGTTGCTGTTTCGTTTTTGCAGCGTACTGGGGAAAAGAGTACAGGGCCTTGCACATGCTGTGTACTTTTGTCTGTACCAATATCGAAAATTTTGTGAGTTTTAAAAATATAAATTTAAAATACCAGTGTTAAATAAACCAAGAGAAAACAGCAGTAATTGGTCTGGAAAGGAAGCTCACACATAATTCATAATTCCCTTCAGGTACAAATTTTCGTAGAATGAGAGGGCTTCAAGGTTGTAGCCCTTTTTATTCACTCTCCCAATCCTTGGGTGTTGGAATCACTGATACATAGAAAACCTACTGCCTTTCTGATAGCGGTACTTGCTGGGCCTAATCCCACCCAAGCAGTCAGAATAATCCCTTCAAGAAGTTGATCTCCTTTGCAGGCCTCTTGCCTTGAGGAACCAGTCACTTCTATTAAACTCTTGTGTTCTCCTAGCTCTTGGGATGGGCTTGATACTTTGTTTTTACCCTCCAGGAATTTGCACTTGAGGGTGGTGGTACTTGCCTGGCCTGTAATTCCGGGTCTGGGTGGTAGAAACGGAAGGATCTGGAGTCACAGGTCAGTTCAGGCTCTGGTATGTAGCTAGTTCAAGGCCTGCCTGGGTGCCAAGGCTGAGGATCTGCCTCAAGACAGAACAAAACCAAAAAGCAAACAGCTCAGCTGGCTGGGGTTGTTTCTCCTTCAGGCGGGTCACTCTCTACCCTGTGCAGCCTCTGCAATCTCCATCACTGTCCATTCTTCCCTGCCCACCAACCATGAATGCCCAGAGAAAGGGCCACACCAAAATACTGAGAGTGGTTCTTTACTTCTGGTGATGGAGCTATGGGTAATTTGTTTCCTTAGTGCATATACATGTTCTCCATTTTCTCCTGTGAATCATTTTCTACCTTTGTGAACTGGGGAGGAAGCTGATAAAATCCATGTCTGTTAAAAGTCAAGGCAATAGAACATGGAGGAACTCTGAGCATGGTGGCCCCTGCCTGCAATCCCAGCCCTCACTGGGCTCAGGCAGAAGACTCTCTGCTTTGATGCCCCTGGGCTGTGTAGCCAGACCCTGTAGGCAAAACAACCACCAAACAGGTGATGATGACATGGGGGTGGGGGTGAGGAGGGGCGTCATCATTCTTCCTCTTTTCATTTTGGTAAATTATTTTTAATAACTTAGATGAGATTTTAGTATTGCCTTAATATCAAGCTTTTTTTTTTTATTTTCATGACTTTCAGAGTGTTTTAGGGTGTGGTATTGAAATTAAGTTTTTTTTTTTTTTTTTTGTCTTTTTGAGACGGGGTCTCCCTGTAGCTCCAGATGGCCTGGAACTCACTGTGTAGAACAGGCTGGCCTTGAATTTAGAGATCAGCCTGCCCCTGCCTCACTACTACACCCAGCTGAAATTAAATTCTCAGAGAACAGAATCTAGCATCTAGACTAGGATATGAGAACAAAGTGTGTGTAAGTGACTCTTTCCCTAATGAATGTGTTATTAATACATTTGATGCTTCTGAGTACTGACATTGCTCTTGAATAATTTGTAGTTTACTTTGCTGGGTGATATTTTCTGCATACATTTCTTCAATAGCGGACTATGTACCATGTGGCAAACACTTAGTAGATATGGGATATCTGAATGATGAACACAGTAATTGATCACTTAGGATCTCATGAAAGAGCATTATTTGAAATTTGAATGTTTAAGCATGCTATTGCACTTTGTACTGTATTTTCAGGTACATGATGGCTTAATTTAGGTGCTGTTTATGAGTTGCTATTGCATAGCTGCTCTTTTTATTTTTTGAGACAAGGTATCATGTACACCCCAGGCTAGCCTTGAATTTGCTATATAGCTGGGAATGACCTTGAACTTGTGGATCTTTCCTGCCTGTACCTTTTGAGGATTGCAGTTAGAGACACATACCCCACACCACCACACCCAGGGTGTGAGGATTGAACCCAGGCCCTTGGTCCATGCTAGGTAAGCACTCTACCAACAAAGCTACGTTCCTGGCCCTAGTGCATAGCGTTTACAATTTGTTCTAGTTTCTTTTGGGTTTTTATTTATTTATTACTGTGGGTGGATATTTAAGGTATGGAATAGTGTGTCATTAATGCTGTTTTGCTAATGATTTCATATTATAAAAAAATAACGTATTTCCAGGTTTTAATTTGCCCTCTACTTCTTGGCTATAATGAGCAGAACTCTGATCTTTTCTCTTTTGGCTGGCTCTGCTTCTCTGTTTTTTTTTTTTTTTTTAAGTCTCATTTTATTATTTATGTAGGCCACCCATGTGTATCCTTCAGTCCACAACACCTCCATTCTTTCTCTTCTCTTTACATTTGCATCCTCCCATTTAGTCCAGTCCCTACCTGGTGGTCTTTTAAAATGCAAATTGTGGCTTTCATTGTTCTGGGGGCATTTAAAATTCCTACTTTATCTACCTGTCCCTGGCTCCTCCTCTTTGCCCTCCAAGTCTTATCTAGATAGAGTTTTACTTTTCTTTTTCTCTGGATGGCTGTTTATTTTCCTGTGACTGCACAGATGTGTCTTCTGTGTGTTTTTGACTAGGAGCCAACGGTTCCCGCTTCATATTTCCATTCCACACATCCTTGTTTCTACTACCTACATATTCTCTTCCCTGAAGATGCTCTATCTCTTTTAGTTGCCTATACTTTTCCATGGTGCTTAGCACAATTTTATGTTTATGTGGTTATTTTATATTCCCTGATAAATTCTGAGAATTCTACAAAGACTGCAAAAACAGGGACCAAGTATTTTTTTTAAAGATTTATTTTTTATTTTATGTGAGTGTGCTTGCATGAGTATGTGAACCATGTGAGGCCAGAAAATGGCCTGGGAGTCCCAGTATCTGGAGTTTCAGGTAATTGTGACCTATTATGTGGGTGGGTGGTAGGAACCCAACCTGGGTCCTTTGCAAGAGCAGTAAGCAGTCTTAACTGCTGAGCCTCTCTTCAGCCCTAAGGGCAAAGTATTTTTCTTTTTCTTTTTCTTTTCTTTTCCTTTTCTTTTTTTCCTTTCCTTTCCTTTTCTTTCTTTTCTTCTTTTTTTGAGACAGGGTCTCCCTGTGACCCCAGCTAGTTGTACTGGAACTCCCTATGTAGACCAGACTGGCCTTGAAGAGGTCCTCTAGCCTCTGCCTCCTGAATGCTGGGGCTAAAGGCCTGTGTATTTTTATTTTCTTATCTTACACCCTTGTTCTTTCACCTGACCATCTCTGAATATAGACTTAATGTATATGAAAAATTAAACTAAAACCTGGGCACACAGTATGAAATCCATTTTACCTTTTATAACCTAACCCATACATATATAA